CCTACCTTCGCATTGAGCTCTCTGTGCTTGACTCTAGTGCGTGGGTTTTTAATTACCTGGCTTTTCTACATGGTATGGAAATGTAGTCATCTCGAAGCATCCTCAGGAATGGTGCATTTTGATTCAAATGAGCTCTGGGATTGCTCCTGCCTTCCCTTTATTTGATCTAGAAAGGGCACAGACTGTACCTGTTTCCACCTCCGTGCTAGGATTCCTTTTTCTCTTTGGTTTACAGGCAGGCAGCATGTGATCTGCGCTGTAACATCCCTTGTTCTTAACTATTTGTGAAGCTTTTTAGCAGCCCTATATCCTAATTATTTCTCTCTGTTCTGCAGGAGGCCAGGAATTTTGGTGCTCATCAACGACGCAGACTGGGAACTAATGGTCTGTACTCCTTCAGTTTTACTTTCTTTGTTGAAAATATTGCTCTGTCTGTTCTGTGGTTGCTCTCGGAGAAGCTATTTCTGATTCTCGCCCCAAGCGAAGCATCTCCTATTTGAGGGGGAAGGGGCAGGCTGGGATCTCTCTCCCTGTATTGTCCTGTGGCTGTTCAGAAGCCTGGAGCTTTTCTCTAACCTGCTGAGTTTCATCAGCCAGCCAGTGTCTGAAGAGAGATCACCCGGATTCCCTGGCTTCTGGCAACGGGCTTCACACCTCTGGCTGCCAGCAGGTCCCCCCCACACGTAGGGTAACAACTCGGTGGGTACCAGGCAGCTTCTCAGCCCTGAGCAGACCCCCCTGCGCTGGAGCAAGGTGGTGCCATGGCAGGCACCCTGTGCCCTGGGGAGATTTCTGCCTAAACAGGCAACTGGTAAATACCTTCCCTTTTCAGCCCGCTGTTACACTCAGACAACAAACAGCCCGTCATCGCTATTTTCCTGCCTCAGGCAAACAGCTGTTCTGTCAAACTCCTGGTCCAGAAAGCCCCGTGGGATAATGAACCTCGGTGCCTTGTCTGATCTCTCACCTTTGCTTCCATCAGGATGAAAACATCGGGCTATCCCCTTCTGCTCTCCCTAACACTCACCAGCTTCTTACGAGCTGTTTTCTCTTTGCAGCTAGTATTTGGAAATGACATTTTAACCATTTTTCATTCTTTTTTTCCTTGGCCTGCAGGGTGAGCTGGATTATAAACTCCAGGACCAGGATAACGTGCTGTTCATCTCGACATTGCATGGCGGGTGAACTCCTGGAAAAACAAGAGGATGTAAATCCAAATCCCTGCGCAAAAAAAAAAACCCAAACTAAAACCTAAACCCACCTGAACCTCTCTTGAACTGCTTGTGCCTGGGCTCTGCATCTTCCCACCGCGTTCACTTGTTAATAGACATCCAAATAAAGCCCTGCCAACCTGCGGCCTGGTGTCCACCACAACAGCATCCATCCTTTGGTCCTCATTTCACCTCTCCTGACTGCACTTCCAGGTACCCTCACAAGCAGAGAGCAGCTGCAGCCTGTGCGCTTTGTTTTTCTGTGACGGGAGGAAGAGGAGGTGCTGAACCTCGAGTAGGATGCTGTGTCTTTGCAGGCGATGGGGCGTTCTGGGGGACCTGTGCCTGCTTTGGGGTGAGGCTGGGGTCCCTCTGCCTTGGTGCTGGGAGCTGGGATTCTTTTAACACGGTATTTAGTGTCGGTACAGTCTGTGCACCAGCCACGGGTACCATCAGGGAAGGGCGAGACATGAAGTGCAAGGAAACAAAAGGTGACTTTACTAGTTGTTCTCTGAGGTGGCAGACATTACAGCTTCAGAGCCCTCCTCAGTGGCTTCCCACTTGTGATATTTATTTATGGGAAGCAGGAGAGAAACAGGCTTTTTTTAGTTTTGTTTGTCTGATGCCTTATGCCTCTTTCATGCCTGAACTGAGGCAAGGTGAAGTGCTAGCCCACGAACAATGTCGATTTATAACCATTTAGTTGGAGGGGAAGCAAACCTGTGCCTGGCCTGAGACAGCATGGAGTGATAAGGGCAGCAAATTATCTTTCTGTGACAGTGATGGACAGAACTGATCAGCCTCCCTTGCCTTGTGTGCAGGTGGGGAGCTGCGTTGCGGCAGCCTGGCCAGGGAAGGGCTGGGGCTGGAGATGAACGGTTAAAGCACAGAGACCAGGGAAAGAAAGTGGCTTTTAACCCTTTCCATCAGTGGGAGGAGGAGGCTTCTTCCTGCACACCCTGAGGAAGTGGCTGCGAGCACAGCGGAAGTGGGTGCGCACGGCTCTGCTGGGGCATGGGTGCTGTTTGCTTTCCAGAAGTTTCCTTGGACAGACGGACCGGCCTGCCTGCCTGCCAGCTGGGAGGCCACGGCGAGAGCAGAGGGAAGGGGTCAGGGAGGATGGCGTTGGCACCTACAGGTCTGAAATGTGCTGCACCAGCTCCTAGGAGCTGCGGTCAGGATTGTCCTTCCTGTGCTCCCCCTGCCCCGCTCACCTGCGTTGCGGCACGACTCCGGCAGCGCGGTGCTCCCCGGCGGCCCCGGCTCTCCCGAGGCAGAGGGCTCACCGGTGCCCTCAGCTCAGGCAGTGCACATCTCGGAGCTGATCTGCACCACATACTGCTCAGCCTGTCCTCGATCTCCGGGAGCTGCCCAGGAGGAGCTGGGAGCTGGCGAGCAGTGCAGCGCACCAGCCCCTGCGCGGGCAGCCTGGCCTGACACCCTCAGGGCTCTCCCTGGGGAGCCTTCCCCGTCCTGCGCCTGGCACAGAGGGAGTGCCAAAGGGTAATGACTTCTCCAGTGACTCCTCTCTCACGTTTCCCCCACCACAACCTGTGTAACTAAAAACACCCCCGGACTACGATGCTGCTGTGTCTGTGAAACCCTGACTCCAAGCCCACTGCTGGAAACAAACCCGTGTCCAGCCTTTCCCAAATCCAGCCGCAGCGACTCGAGTCCAGCTTGTGCCGTTTGTAAATGACACGGAGAAGCCAAAGGCTCTTCTCTCTCCTGGATTTGTGGCTGTAAGCTTTGCTGGGCCGGGGGAGCAGAGGGGATTCCAGGTGACGGTGGGAGCTGGCTGAAAAACACCGAAGCTGCCTGTGGTGAGCAGCTTGAAACGGACTCAAACCCAAGTGGGAAAAGGCAGGTTCGTCTTCAGCGCTGCTGCCTGCCCTGCTCTACGCTGCGTTTTTGCCTTAGGCTGGGCTTGTCTGTTCTTATCCCCCCCAGCTGTTTGCTCACACAGGATGAGTTCCTTCCCTGGGAGGTGTTATTCCCCTCTCCAGAGCAGGTTAGACCCAGATGGCTTTAGCTCCTGCTGTAGTAAAAGCTGCCAATCGTTGCTTTAAAAAAAAAAAAAAGCTAGAAATGGGAAGATGAGGGAAGCCAGGGGCTGGGAGAAGAGGGGAGGGGGGACGTAAAATTCTGTAACAAGAAAAAAAAAACAAAAAGTTTCTGAAATAAAAGCCTTTTAAAACATTTTCTGCCTCCAGCTTTGTCCTAGATAGGATCTTGGAGAAATTTTGCTCGGATCTTGTAATGCTTCCCTCCTCCTCCTGGGTTTCCTTGGCAGCCCCGGCCGAGTCGCTTGGCTTCTGGAGTCATAAAGCCTCTCTGTTAAATCCTTCCTCCG